AGCACATCATCCACCTGTAACGCACAGAAGAAATGCACTCAGTATTCCTGCGTATGGCCTGTTCCTTCACACACATAAAGTACCTGCATTTAGTGCTGAACAGAGTTTAGGCTTCGAATACTACACATACACAGAAATTCAGCAGCGATTTACTCAACTGCTTCATACAGATCAAGTACATCAATCACATAGTCACGTGTTTCAGAGAAACTACTCTTCTGTCAGAAGCACACTGTTTTACTTCCACCCTCCATAGGGACTGTGAAGCAAGGAGGGATGGGTACAGGACACCTATGTGGCAAGCAAGCACTGCCTATACTGGGCAAACTGAACATTTTGAAGTGACTACACAGAAAAGACTATTTAACAGGAAAGAACATGGTTCAGAGATAAGAAGCAGTTACTTCATACTCCAACTAAGACATCCCTACCTGTAAGAAGCAGGCAGTTTCGTACAGCTGCTCTACGGTGCTGTCGCTTATTGCCAAGTTACCCGTGTATGCGTAAGTGATTATGATTTGCAAAGTGGCTGCATCCACGTTCCTCAGGTGCACGTGTGTCTGTTTGCTTTCGCTCAGCCCGCTCATGAACATGGCTCTGAGGAGAAACACACACATTCAGACAAGGATCAACAGTGAGTAGGTACAGCCACCTTGAACAGTCACCTCTAAGGCTCCAGTGATTACACTCCAAAAGGGGAACAGTCTGTTTAGTATTTACCATCTAGTGTTTAAGATAAAGCATTTGCAGAGAACTTTCAGAAAGGACCATCAGTGCCTTCTGGAGAAACATTTTACACTTACAGAATCATAGACTGGTTAGGGTTGGAAAGGACATTAAGATCATCTAGTTCCAACACCCCGGTCATGGGCAGGGACACCTCCCACTAAACCATGTCACCCAAGGCTCTGTCCTACCTGGCCTTGAACACTGCCAGGGATGGAGCATTCACAGCTTCCCTGGGCAACCTATTCCAGTGCCTCACCACCCTCACAGTAAAGAACTTCTTCATTGTATCTGATCTAAACTTCTCCTGTTTAAGTTTCAACCCATTACCCCCTGTCCTGTCACTACAGTTCCTAATGAAGAGTTGCTCCCCACCATCCTTATAGGCCCCCTTCAGATACTGGAAGGCTGCCGACTCTTTTGCATTAATCAGACAACTTTAATGATTTGGGAATCTTAACATTGGAATTTAAAACTTTTTCTGTTAGATGATGATGAGAAGGAAGAAATATCCTCCAAGAAAACACTGTTGAAGCACATACAGCTAGATTTTAGATTCTGAAACAGAAGCAGCAGATTCATATATTTATATGAGCTAAGTCATATAAAAGTGTGCTCCTCTAGGAGTAGGGAAAAGCTAGAGCAAGTACTAGTATTCTGTGAAGTATTTCTTATACACCAAAATGCTTTATACACCTATTGCCCATTCTGGTTTTTTAATTGCAACACAGTTAAGAACTAACTAGAGCCTAACAGTGTAAACCAAGTACTTGCTAATTTCTTAAAATAGGGGACATCAATTTTAAGAGCTTAATATTAATTCAGGTTTGGTCTTTGCAGTTGTATTAAAAACTCAGCTCAAGGCTCTTTATGTATTTGGGTCTTTTTAAGAACACAGGCATGAAAAAAACTAGCAGGGACTAGCTGCAGAGGTGAGGGAACCCAGGGGCACACTCCTTAAACAAAGCTATTCCAAGAAGCATCTTATACAGAGACAGTGCCATACTACTGTTCCCTCCTGCCTCATCCCCACCTCTCCATCTTCTAAGTTCCTTAACTAAGGGCAGCTTGTATCTTAGGAGGCACCACTGAGTGGCCAAGTCAGCATCAACTTGCCATGCAGGTAAACGAGACAGTACAAGTGCCAGCAGATTCCTCTTTGTAGAAAGTAACAGGTAGCTGTTAAGAGACAGCAGCGTTCCAGCACAGAGATGGAAGGTAAACTGGCTGCAGTCAGACACAATGGCTGCATCAACCAAGAGATGCTTTTCTGCTCTTCCCCCTCTCCCCACAGCTTCCTTCAGGGCTATCAATTTTTCATAATAAGGCTAAATTTAGGAAGCTGAGCATCTTTTTGTAAACTAAAGTAGAGAAGAAAAACAGAACATGACAAAACCACAAGCTTGATACTTCTTATAACGAGTGCCAAAACCTCATTCCATAAATAATAAACACACACATATGAATAAGAGATCTGACTACACAGTCTAATGCAGCACACTGTGGACTCATGACAGCTTTCCAACCTTACGATTAGCCACCAGCATTGAATCTGGCTCCATTTCCGGGGGCTATTATTTTATAGACTGTTGGAACTATGTCATCTGCACAAGGCCAACAGCAATAATCGTTATTATCTAGTTATCACACAATGCTTGCTGCTAAAAAAATACACCTTTTAATCTCAGCTGAGGCTGGTTGGTACAACACAAAACCCAGCAGCAACAAACACTTTTATGAAAGTAACAAATGAATCCTCAAATATTTCTATACAAGAAAGCAGACAATGTACAGAAAACAGTTTAGAAGTGTTCCGCATGGTGAGCCCATCTCATGAGAACCTTTCCTTGATGAAACAGGAAAGCAATGTCACAACTCCATCAGGAAGGTAAAACATGGCTGGATGTCACCAAGACTAGTTTCAGGCTTCAAAATTCCTTCCAGGCAAGCGCATTAATTATACTGTGTTCCCACAAAAAATGATTGATCACTACAGAACATTCACAGTGCCTCATCTTCTAGGACTTACTACGAAGATATCTGCAAAAAGTAGAAGCACTTAATGTATCTTGTTAATAAAAACTTCTTGATTAACTAACTTGATTAACTCCCTAAAAAAAAGGAACCATCACAAGTATAACTGTTTCTTCCACTTACTGTAAAAACTACAGCGCCTATCCAGACTAAGTCACAAGATGCTCTTTTGGTGTTGGCACCCAATGGTATTTAGGATTTTAATTACTACACTGATGTTTAAAATGCTAACATGTTAATTGTAAGTCAATCAAGTAATTTTACACTCAAAATCAGCTATCACAGATTGCCTAGAATTAACAGATCCCACTTTGAATGCTTACCTGAAATATGAGCTGCAAGTGGCAAGAACCATCTTATGGCAGGGAAATTCAGTGCCCTCAACAATCAATACTATGTCAGTGAGCAACTGCTGTTCATAGAAGAATTTTAACTGCTCCAGCAAGGATACAGCGTACTCTGTATTTATCTGCTTCTCGTCCTGGGTAGACATGACTGTATTCCATTAATATTTTCAGGACCAGAGAGAAAAGTCAAGATCTTTTCACCAGAGAAAGGTCAGTTGAATGTTTCTGAAGTAAGAGCAGGAAGTCTGTAGCCTTCAGAAGTGATACCTCAGTGTTATCTCAGACTGCTGAATCAATGCTTCAGACTTTGACCATCTTTTGACTTAGGTCATCATGCTTTGACTTGCTGTCACAACCTGGTCAAAAACTTTCAAGAGTGTCTGCAGGGCTCCTGGGGAGATCTGTGATGCAGCAAATGAATGAGGAAAAGCGAAATCTGAGGTAGGTTCCGTGGGACCATCTCTTGAACAACGGCTGCACTTGAGTCACTGAAAGAAGGAAAATAAAGTTAATTCACACATTAGCACTTACTCAAAACCCTTTCATAGTTACCTGTTAAAAACAGTTGTCTACAGCGTATTTCTAAATCAAATAATTCCAGCTTTAATTTTGCACTGTTTCACATTCCAAAAATCAAGCAATAACCAGGGCCACATTTGTCTAAGACATCACTATCATCACAGTTCATGATGAATGGTGAATGCAGAAATACCCTACTTGAAAAATCATACTTGAAATTCCAGGCAAAAATACACCATTTGGCATAAGGCAAAGGCTGTAGGAATCCCTGCTGCCATATTGCAGATCTACTCATTCAACAGAGCCCTGCCTCTAATACAATTCAAAGGCAACTGTTTTTTAACATTCACTCCCTTGAAACAGATCTGCTTAATTAATGTCACTTCAGTAGCTACTAATTTAGTGTCACTGATCTTTCCCAGTGAAGAAATACACACAAGCAGGAACCTCAAACTCTTTTAATTTTCACTGGCTGTTTAACTGGAAACCAGTCAAAATAGTCAAACCCAATGCTTACTGGTCAAGTGAAGCAAGTTAATTAAGCATCCCAGATTGTTTTGGGTTGGAGGTATCTTAAAAAGCCTTAAAGCTCATCCAGTTCCAGCCCCCCTTCCATGGGCAGGGACACCTTCCACTAGAGCAGGTTGCTCCAAGCCCTGTCCAACCTGGCCTTGAACACTGCCAGGGATGGGGAGCCACAGCTTCTCTGGGCACCCTGTGCCAGTGCCTCAGCACCCTCAAAGGAAAGAACTTCTGCCTAAGAGCTCATCTCAGTCTCCCCTCTGGCAGTTTAAAGCCATTCCCCTTGTCCAAAGCCCCTCTCCAGGTTTCCTGTAGCCCCTTTAGACACTGGGAGCTGTTCTAAGGTCTCCCCTGAAGGAGCCTTCTCTTTTCCAGGCTGAACCAGCCAAGCTGCCTCAGTCTGCCTTCATAAGAAAAAACAGAAAAGGTATTAATATTCAGGGGAGGAGAGACTTACTTGCTATAACAACAGATATTTGCACAAGTCTTGCCTTCAGACCTCCAAGTTTCAGGAGCAGTTAACTGCTGGAGTCACTGACCCACATGTATATCAACGACATACAAATTACTGCTCATCTAAAGCAGTGACCTGCGTCAAGTCACACCTTTTCACCAAATGAGCATGCATGCTGTCTCTGCATCCATGACACTATCCTGGTTTATCTGGTAACAGCATAACATGCAACCTAATCCACTGACTGATTCTGCACTGAACTTTAAATGGCTATAAAGACACACAGACCTCCTAAGTGCATTAGGCCCACAGGAATAAATAGCTCATGGCTCTACTGGTATCCCGGGTCTCTCTACAGCATTGTTTTTCCTGGCTTAGGAGTAAAGCTATAAGAACAGTACAAGCTAGTGGATTAAGCTCTATTGAGGCAGAACATCAGTACTACTAAGCTTTAGCAAAGGGAGTCATTGATATCCTGACTTCCTATTCTGATGTAATTTTAAAGGATATAAATCTTCAGGAATAGGAAGAAGGAGTAAAACTAATGTACACTGTTTTAGTCATCAGGTAATGGAACCAGTCAAGGATGCCATGGAGAAACTGACAGACACCTGCTAGTGAGATTAATGACTTTCGGCAGCATGTGGCTGAGGGCTGGTAACTGAAAAAGCAGACCTGTTCAACAGGAGACAAGCTGAAACTGTGACATTAATTACTATTAATAGCTGGAACATTTCAGCATGACCCTCAGGAGCAGAAAAGATTGAGGAGATGACAGGAGTCTTGTTGGAGAACATTTATGTGATGTGAACCACTGTGGAACTATGAATTCATGAAGCTGGAGTCCTTGGTTTACAGCTGATCCCAAACCATCTTGTTTCTGTGATGTGCCCAGAGAGGTAGATGCACATAGTAGGGACACACAACATACATGACTCCTGTTTTCCATATCCATACTGTGTTTTGCTGCCAGTGGCAAGCATTTGTTAATGAACAAAATTTTGTGTTTGTCATAAAGTCAGGAGTTGCATCATATTCCCTTGTAACAGAACCATCCTCAATACTCCTGAAGAGAAAAATAAATACATCAAGGATCTGTGCACTTCTGGTTTAAAATTAGCCATCATTTATATTGACATTTGCCCAGGAGAAGTAAATCTGTTCAAAATATTTGGGTAAGTGGTGTAGGAGCACCATTTTGTGCTTGGAAAGACATCCAAGACCACTTACCTACCTCTCTCACACCTCTCTGAAGAGTTCCACACAATTTTAAAGGAGATGGCTCTACTCACTTTGGAGGCAGTGGAGGAAGAATCAGCTTGTCCAAGGCCATAAACTTGCCAATGGAGAACTACAAGAGGGTCAGTCTTCCCCAGTCCCAACACAACATCTCTCACTGCACTGTTGTTGTCTGGCATGCAGCTCTTCATCTCACCTGACTGAAAAACTATCAATGTTAAAAGATGTCTACAGATGGACTACAACATCTTCTAGTTCTGGATACTACACAAGAGTGGACATGTTGGATTTATGCATGAGAATACCTATGGCTGAAGTTAGCTTAATATCCTGAACTGAAATTCTAATAGAATAAAAATAATCCTTGAATACAAGTTCTATGAATAAGACTTTCCCCTCCAACAATGTCACCGAAACAACCATGTTGTCCTGGGTAACTTTCTGGTAGTCAGCTATGTAAAGCAGGACTGGCAGGTACCTGCTGGATGGCCACCACTGAACTGGACTTCAAACTAATCCCAGGGGATCCAAAGTAGCTCCCTATCAAGCAGAACAACATTAAACAACAGCCTGATAACAGGGCTTGTTTTTAAGTAATTGCTTCTTTCAGCTTAAGTAATGAGGTGGCTTTTAACGCTTGTTCAGGTACTTCAAATCTGAATGAGACCATTCCAAAAATTAGTCATCAAATGTTAATGAGTTCTGGGATAGGCTATTAATTGCCTTCCTTGAATCTGTTAATCTTCTGAGGTCAGGCAAAGACTGATAAACAGAGATACAAACTGCACTATGTACATGGAAGTGTTAACACTATATGTCAGTGTGTAACATGGAGTAACTATGTGGACTATTTCCAATTTAATTAGTAAGGAAAGGTGTAATATATATAATATTCTTCAACTGAACTCATTCAAAACAGAATTTGCTTTATTTTTTTTCCAGAATTAAATGAAGGACAAAACATATCTAGATATGCAGTATTTTGAGGGTGGAAAAGAAATAAATTCTTCTGAAAATCTCATTAAGAATTCTGCTAGATTAGATGCCTAGCTTCCAACAGAATTCTGGGATGTATGAAAGTGTCATAGGTTCCTATCTGCATCTCTGGCCATCTAAATCTCTCTCGAATTCTAACTTCATTAATTCTGATTCACACTTCAATAAACCTCTATGTTTGGAAGAAAAAAAACAAACACCACCAAAACTTACTTCCTCAGACATTCAACTCATTAAATCTACTTTTAACTAATTAAGAAAAGCTTTAAATACTACTTTTGTGCATTTTTAGTCAAATTCCTATTTCCATCCAGGGGCAGCTTCACACAAATCACAAGTAAAAACACGTCTAAAGTGAGTCACTCACTATTTTTAACATAATAAAATGTCAGAATTAAGAGGCAACTGTAAGCCAAACTACACAAGCTCATGTGTGTAGAGAGGAATCCTCCCAGCTAGCAATGAAAGTATCGACCTCCGCATATGCTGAGTTACACATCAACATGATACAAAATTACTACACCAACTAATAGCACAGGGAATACAAGTACTAAGTGATTAAAATCAATTCTGTAAATCAATACACCTAGCCAACAGATCTCAGACAGGAAAGAAAGAAGAAAAAGGAGCTGGAAGTTCTAGATTCTTGAGTAATATATCAAATTGGCATCCTTGGCAGCAAAAAAAAGAAATAGATAATTAATGAAGCAATCCCAAACTTGGAAGTTTTCCTCTCTTCTAAAGCCATCAAAGGTGTCTTTGATAGCACTGCAAGTCCAGAAACCTGAGGACATCAAGGAGATTCTAGTAAGGCAACAACAACATGAAATTTCAGAGGAATACAAGGAATGATTTATTCCTACAATGTTATAATCTTGAAAAGTACTGTTCACTTGGAAATTACTACTATTTTCCATACATATTATGCCTGGGAGGAAGGCTAGTTACAGCTCAGAGGTAGGTGAGCCTTCTGAAACTACGCAGAAGCTAGAGACAAGGAGTGTCAGACTATGCTAACAACATGTTTGGTCACAATGTACTCCTCATTACCAGTTTCTTTCCTGTTTTTCAGCTCCTAAAGGAAGTTATACACTAAAGGAAATACCTGCTCAGAAACAAAATTAGCCCAAGATAAACCAACAGCTTCATTTGGCAAGTGGCCTTCTACCCTGAGCACAGGTAGTTTCCATCCCCAAGGGCATTTCTGTTTTGTGGAAAGACTTCACCTGTTTTGGAAAATTAAGCTCTGGAAAAAAGAAAGAAAAAAAAAGTGGGCCATGGATGTCTCCAGTAAGATCCAGCCAAGTCCCATCTGTAGCCAGAAAAGTGGGTTTTCTCTCCGTAGTACGTTAATGAAGCAAATCTGTTTAACAGTTTCAATTCCAGTTCACAATACATGTCACTTCCTGAAAAGTTCACTATGAGATATGTTGATGTTCAACTATAAATTCAAGTATTTCTACATTAAGAAATTAGATTAACAATTAATCCCAGATTGGTCTGGGTTCAAAGGGACCTTAAAGCTCATTCAGTTCCAATCTCCTGCCATGGGCAGGGACACCTTCCACCACAGCAGGTTGCTCCAAGCCCCGTCCAACCTGGGCTTGAGCGCTGCCAGGGATGGGGTAGCCACAGCTTCTCTGAGCACCCTGTGCCAGCGCCTCAGCACCTCATAGGAGCTTAATTAAGCATGTTAGTTACTAAAAGGTAGAGTCTTATCATGGAGATCTTATTAATACATATACAATTTATTATCAAAGTGAAGTAGCCGCTAAATTAAGGAAATCTTAGCATTTGCACCAATTCTGCTTCAACATCACCTGACCAAGCTAAAAAAAGCCTGCCTCAAAAAAAGACCCCAACAACCACCTGGCCAAAATGTAGTAAAAATACTTCTAAATAAGCAGCAACATCCTTTTTCTTTGGTCTCTACTGGCAAGATGCTAGTTAGACAGCACCAAGTATAATGGAACCCTTTTACTCCACGTACAAAAATAATTGTGAAAGAGGTGTGACACCTATGCCCAGTTCATAGCAGTACATGATTTATACAGCTGAGTGCATTAAGGATAAAAAATTACCTGTTTCTCCTGGAACATTTACGAGAAACTGAACTAACTTCATCTTGTATTTTAACAATCTCCTGAATCATCTTAATAAAGCTCTCTTAGGTAAAGCCCAAAGTGAGCTCAAAACAGCACACAGACTTTTAGGTCCACACAGAAAGCAAAGCTGTGGCTTTGCAACAGAAGCTCTAAAACCACAGATGTTGCCTACAATACAAAGCCATTTCTGTTCATAATTAATTTCAAAAGCAGGAGGTATCTATCCTGTTCATAACAGAAATAACAGTAAATAGTAAAAAAATCTTAGGCATATAGATAACCAACTTCAAAGTTAAACTACGCATATACTTAGTCCATAAAAGCTCTCTAAGACTTTTCTGGCTCTTCAAATGCACATCTGAAGCCCACCGTCAATTGCTGTAGGTACAAACACAATTAGATGTATCAGCAAGACGGGCAGCAACGTCAACAACCAGCAACACTTCTACAGTGCTGTTCTCCCACAGGGCTTCACTGTGTCTTCAAGCACCAACATAAAGCACCCAGGCTACAAACACCCCAGCCTGCTGAGGCGAAGAGGCCCTGAACACTGAAACCCCGCTGCCCGCCCCGTTACAGGCCTGAGTTCACAGCCCCTCCCGATTGCAGGGTGCAGCGACACGGGAGTAGAGACGGTAACACACGTTTCCCTCCTCCCGACACCCAGGCGTGCACGAGTCCCTCCGCCGCTGCAATTCCTTTCCTGCTTCCCTCGGAAGCTCCCCACCAGCACTAATGAAAGGGACACTTTCCTGCTCCGTGAAGAGCCGGCGCAGACCCAGCGGCTCAGGCCCGGTCACACGGCCGGCAGCCCACTGCGCCGAGCTGCCCTCTTCTCCTCCCGCAGCCCTCCGGGAACCGGTCCTGGCCAAGAAGCGACCCCGCAGCTCCTCGCTTCCTTCTCGGGGCGCCTCCGCCGCCGGTCTCAAGCAGCGCCCGGCGGGACACAGACCCGCAGGTCGGGGAGCGGGGGAGAGGAACCGCACCCAGGCCGAGGGCTGAGGAGTGTTTGTACTGGCACCAGCGCTGCCGCAGAGCCCCCCCCCCGGGCCGCCCCGTCCGCCGCGGCCCAGCACCGCTCACGGCGAGTGGCGGCCTAGCCCCGCGCGGGAGACGGGAAACAGCGCCTCGGCCGCGGGAGAGCCACCGCCAACCACCCCCCACCGCGGACAAACCTCCGAGCGCCACTGGCGCCTCAGCGGCGAGCCCGGCCCGGGGAAAGGGGCGAAGAACGACCCGGGGCCACCCGGGCGGCGGCAGCCGTTACGACGCGCCACCCGCCCGCGCTGCGCATGCTCACGGCGCGCGGGGAGGAGGGCGGGGGTACGGCGGGTGCCCGCGCAGCCGGGTCCGCCTCCGCTTCCGGGATTGCCCGCCCCGCACCGCCGCTCCACACCGCGTGGCGTGGGTGCTGCCGGCGGGGACGGAGCCGGTGGCTGCCGTGTCCCGCTCCCCCTGCCCCGAACGGGCCGTGAAGCGCCAGGCAGACGCCTCCTTCCACCTCAGAGAACAGGTTCAGACTGCTCCGAGAGCGGACCTGCAGCTCTGTGTGTGTGTGTGTGTGTGTGTGTGTGTGTGGAGACAGCGTTCTCACGGGAGAGTGCATAATTGGTACATAAACTCTGAAAATCCTGAAGGATACAGCAAGGCCATGAGAGGCCCAAGGGAGCTTAAGCAAGCAAGATAAGAAGAAGCTGGAATTCACTGTGTTATGAGAACTGTGGACTGCTGGCAAGCTTTTGAGGTCAAGTCCCCGCACCTGTGCTTAACCAATTATATGCTAGTTGCAAAGGGTCTTCAAGACATGTATCCAATCATAATATGCCAAATCACTGTACGTGCATGTAGGAAATAGTATTTAAGGGGTTAAGGCTTTGTAATAAACGGCTTTTTGTCTGATCATATTGATCTCTGAATGAGTCCATCTATTTTCTGCGGCAGGGGGGGTCCGCAGTAGCGGCCCTGGAGGAGCCTGAAGGGGAGATCCTGAGGGGAAGCCTTTCATTTGTTAATTATCGCCCATGGCAGTGCTGCCGTCACCGTCCTGGAAGTGTTCACACGCCGTATAGATGAGGCCCTCAGTGACATAGGTTAGTAGTGGCCTTGGCAGTGCTAGGGAACGGTTGGACTGGATAGCTTAAAGGGCTTTTCCAACCTCCTTGATGCTGTGATTCCATTTTGATGCATCCACCAAGAGACAGAGACAGAACAAAACGGTAAAGCGCAGGAATTTTCCAACCTGGAAACATGAACTGTTTCCAAGCACCCATTCCTCTTAGTTTTTCTCCAGTCGCATACCTTCGTGCATAGCACATTCATAGTGCTTTCCACTGTCCCTCTGTCCCAAAACTGGTTTTCCGTCATTAACAGATGAGACATGGCAAAGTCGCCGCTCCAATTCTGATTGCCTGAGAGGAGCCAGGGCAGAAACAAATTAACACGTTTCATAAATGACAGGTGGCAGAGTGTACTGTGCTGGAGTGTGTCTCTTGCCCAGATGGAAAGAACATGATGTCTGTCAGCACACTTAACCACAGAAATATAGAATCAACCAGGTTGGAAAAGACCTTTAAGCTCATCCAGTCCAGCCCTTCCCCAGCACTGCCAAGGCCACCACTAACCTATGGCACTGAGGGCCTTGTCTACACGATGTATGAACACTTCCAGGGAGGGTGACTCCAGCACTGCCCTGGGCAGCCTGTTCCAATGCCTGAGCACCCTTTGGGGAAGGAATTGTTCCTCATCTCCATCTAAACCTCCCCGCTGGTGCAGCTTGAGGCCATTTCCTCTTGTCCTGTCCCTTGTTCCTTGGGAGCAGAGAGCAGCCCCCTCCTGGCTCCATCCTCCTGTCAGGTAGCTGTAGAGAGCAATAACATCCCCCCTGAGCCTTCTCTTCTCCAGACTGAACCCCCCAGGTCCCTCAGCCGTTCCCCATCACCCCTGTGCTCCAGGCCCTGCACCAGCTCTGTTGCCCTTCTCTGGTCCCGCTCCAGCACCTCAATGTCTCTCTTGTAGTGAGGGGTCCAGAGCTGAACACAGGATTTGAGGTGTGGCCTCAGTGCAGGGGGGTGATCACTAGCCCGGGCCCGCTG